TTCACGCTCACCTGGCGATGTCTGGCAGGTTTGTGTATTCACCGCCATTCTCCGTATCAGCGAAGACAACTCGAGCGACGCTACTTTAGTCAATTTTCCACAAAAGATGGATTCAAAGAGACCGGCTTGTAGTTCATTCCAAACCCCAAAGCAAACTCCACATTAGACAAAGAAAGTAAAACTTCTGTCTAGTGCCAGGCGTCGGAATAAGAAGTGAGTCAACTTCGGGAAGCTTTCAACAAACGGAGAGATCTCCGGTCTGCTCTAGGACTTAAACTTATATTGTTCATGAACGTGTTTCCATAATAATACAATCATAAGTGGATACAGTAAGCACATAAAACAGTTCAACATGGAGATAGACGGAAACAAAAAAATAAGTTTTCTACCCACGTTTCCCCCTCACACACATAAGTGGTAATTTACTCAAATGCCTTTCCTTTCATATGTTAAAAATGACTTTCAGATTTATAATTTTATTACCTCTGAAGACATTATGACTGTAACAAAAGATGTGTGCGGCTGATGCTCCTTTGGTTATGAACAGCTCGTGCGAGTGTGTGTGTGTGTGTGTGTGTGGTCCATGAGCGTGCACACCTCTGGTTGCAGTTTCGCTTGTCGCCAGAGGGGGCGTAGTTCTTCAAAAACTCAGAGACTTCCGCACTGCACCTTTAAAACCACCTGCCTAATTTTGTAGGAACTCATTTTGCTGCTAAAACAGCTCTGAAGAGCTGAGGCTAGGAGTTACATGACTACTGATTCACTCCAGTTACTTGTCAAAACAATATCCGAGTTACTTGAATACTTGTGATTATGTTACCCTTAAAAAATACATCATAACAGTTTGTGTCAACAAGCATTTATTAATTCACAGCTCAATGTTTGGAGCAATTATGTCTCTTCCATGTTTTGTAAAAAAATACAGCATAAAATTTCACTCTGAGGAAGGACAAACAGGACAAAGCAATATTAATATGATCTATACCTTTATGCTGATATATGATAAATAACAACAAAAAGGAGCTACTCCAAATACCTATGATATTACTGTACTATCAAATTCCTTCATGATAATATATTGATTTAATCAATCTTAAACCCATTGCGAATTAAAGACAGCTCAAGATTTGGCAACTGTTGTGTAGAAATACTCATTTTTAATTTTTTGTGAAAATGTATGTCAAATGTATTTGGTGGGGTGGTGATGGCGCAGTGGATAAGACACATGCCTTTGGTGTGAGAGACCCGGGTTCGAATCCACTGTGAGACACCAATGTGTCCCTGAGCAAGACACTTAACCCCTAGTTGCTCCAGAGGCGTGCGACCTCTGACATATATAGAAATTGAAAGTCGCTTTGGATAAAAGCGTCAGCTAAATGAAGAAATGTAAATGTCTGATGTAATCCCCAAAGGACACAAAAACAAAAGTACTTGCAAAGCAAATTATTAATCACAAAATGAATGCAACCTGGCAACTTACAGGAGAATGTCAAATGGAAGGTTTGTGTGTCTGTGACAGTGACTGGTTGCTACGATGCAGCTTGGGTGTAAGTGACTTGGTTGTCATGGAGACGACACTACATGTAAGAGTGATGTGCATAACAGTGTGGGCATTATTTTTCGTTTTGTTGAGAGTGAAGGGGGTTTGCTGATGAAACATTACAGATGTGTTTGCAATAGGCAAATGGGAGAAATATCGTACGTTAAAGTCTGAATGAATGTCTTACAAAAAACAGTCAATAAAAGTATTGGAAATATTGACTTTTAATCACATCAAATCATACAGTATCACATCAGTTATGATATACGTTTTAAATAAACAATTAATAGTCCCTTTAGCTTTATGAATGATTCAGCAGGCGGAGATTTCTAAATTGAGAGGGGGGGGGGGGGGGGGGGGCTACAATTTGAAGAAGACTGTGAAATTGAGGGTTTACACATTTGGGAGTACAAATTACTAAATTGATGGTACTTGATTCAGACTGAAATTTCAGGATCAGATATATGTTTGGATTCTAGCTTCTGCCATCAGGGGTTTTGAAAAAACGTTTGAACATTTTGGTAATTGAGGAGGCATTGAGCATTTCTCATGTAAAGATCTCTTCTCTGTTTTCTCTAAATTATGTTATTGTCAGGAGGAGTATGTTATTTTCAATGCTTTAGTTTGGTTTTGTTCCTGTTTCCATGGTTTCTGATTATGTTGCACACCTGTGTACGATTAGTCTCCTTGTGTATTTAAAGGAGAATCCGGTGCAAAATGAACCTTTGGTCTAATAAAACATCGGTACCTAGTCAACCGTTCTCCGAGATTTGTTTTCATGATAATCGAATGTAAAGCGTTCCTAACCTAACCCTATCTCTAAAAAATGTTTAGCGTATAATGCTAGTACTGGTGGCATTTACTACACAGTAACATGATGAGGGTCCCTGCATGCAAAACGAAGCATTGAGAACTTTGTAAGTGTACAGACCGTTTAATAAGAAGATATTTTATAAAAACAGTTCACTTCGTGTATTCAACACCTGAGAAACACCTGTACTCAACACCTGAGAAAGTAAATGGAAATGGACTGCATTTATAGCGCCTTCATAGACCTAATGGCCACCAAAGCGCTTTACATTTGCCTCACATTCACCCATTCACACACACATTCATACACCGACGGCGGTGTCAGCCATGCAAGGCGCCAGCCAGCTCGTCGGGAGCTGGCGTCTTGCTCACGGACACCTCGACACTTGGTCAGGTGGAACCGAGGATTGAACCACCAACCTTTCGGTTCGTAGACAGCCCACATGAACCACTGAGCCACTGCCGCCCCGGAAAGAAAGAGTGTTTGGCAGTGATTTTTTGGCTCTGAAACATTTCAGACCTTACATCGAGGGCCTTCATGTAACCAATTATACTGACCACAACAGCCTGAGGTGGTCCCAACCCCTCTGGGCGACTAGTGAGATGGTCCTTGCACCTACAGGACATTGACATTCTCCGGCACGATCACAGACAGAGCGCCGTTGAGGCACAAAATGGTGACCCAGTCTTCTTCGAAACCTTGAAGGATAAAAAACATGTCATTCATGATGGTCTGCTTTATTTCAGGGTCCCTAAGATAACATGCACTCTCCACCCAATGAAGCCACTGTAAAAAATAATCTTGTAAAAAAACGGTAAATTGTTCTTTGAAATTAACAGCTAAATACCGTTTTGTCAACTACAGCTATATGCTGTTAAATTACAGTTATATACAGTAGCTGACAAAACGGTATTTAGCTGTTAATTTCAAAAACAGTTACACACTGGTTTTTTTTACGGTATGATGCTGGCAACCACTAGCCTGGCTACGTCAGACTTCCTACTTCCGCTAATTTCATTTCGCGCCAGTACTCAGTCTGAGATAGCAGCCTATCTTTCAGTTTTCCAATGGACTTCGGACGGCCGGCCAATCAACGAACAGAGGGCGGGCTGAGAGCTGTGACGTGGATGCTAAGCTCCGAGTTTTACATTGTAGGTTAGAGAAAAATCGAAAACCGAAACAACCGCGGAAATGGGAAACGAGACACGGGATGCATGCCATTTTCCAGTCCTTGAATATTTCTATGTCATACTGTAATCTTGAAATTAAGTTGCAGTATTTCCGACAGACTCGTGAGGAACAAAGAGCTGTGTTTAAAAGATCTAAAGTTTGAGACTTGGCTACAAATACTTTCTTGCTTTACTCTGGCAAAAATACGTTTTAGAGGCTGTGATTGTACCATGGATGCGTAGATTAACTTCGCATAATCTGCAAAAGTTGTTTACAGCCATCTGGTATTTCGCTCGCATCATCAAGTGTTTACATAGACGGTGGGCCGAGGGGAGATTTCGTGTTTTAAGACGATCTGTGGGGATGGATAACCCAGATTTTTATATATAAACATAACACTTTTCAACACAGCACATTGTTGCCATTGCTATATTATCTGCAACTTTCTCCCGGTTATTTTCCCGGCGAATAGAGCAGGCGGCTACGTGTGGATGCTACGAGGAATTAATACAAAATGACACATTGGATTATTAGCAATTCATGTATTACTTAATCTATTAATCATATAGACTCTTTATTAGTTCCTGATGCAGTAATCATTAGTTCTTCATGAGTTATACATTAACTCATGATTATCTGTGCATTAGTTAATCATGAATTAATGCATATTAGTGCACCCGTATTGTAAAGTGTTACCAAACATTTATTTAATAAAAAATACATTAAATGTGAAGTGGGAATTGTGGAAATGTGGGAAACGGTAAATTTAACGGTATTTTACAGTAAAATTACATTACATACAATTATACACGGTAAATCGCAGTAATTTACCATATAAGGAAACTTCCAGTTAACCAATTTTTCCAGTTAAACAGTTTTTCACTGTATCGTCTTTTACTGTTAAAATCACAATAATTTTTTACAGTGTATGTATTTCTGAAATACATAACTTGGACACAGATCACTGAAACTTCAGTAAAGCTGCTTTGAAATGATATGTAAGCGCTATACAAACAAATGTGAATTTAATTTAATTGAAAATGTAATCACTGGCCTAGTCCCTATTCTAACCCTATGGGCCACTTTGGGTAAATTGTGTATTTTTCTTCCCCTCGATATCCTGTCTCTCTTCAATATTTAGATGCCAGACATCATTACATCTGCATGCTGGCGAATTTCTACTAACGAGTAATAAGGAATCACAGGCCCTACTTATAACATTAGAATTAGTTAAAAGAGATCCAATGAATGAAGGGATTTCAGCCGATCACAAATATAAAGAAGCGAACCGTGCCCGTGGTTTTATCCGAGAGCCTTTAAAACAGCTATTTTGGACATCTATTCATACAGTGTGAGCAGACTGCTGTGAAGTAACAGTGTGATGCACACTGAAGGTGTGTGGGTGTGTTCTACTGTCTGCCTGGCTTCATGTGTGTGAGCATGTGAGGAGAGGAGGAGGAGGATGCGGCTGCCATGGTAACGAGGGCTGTGTATGGAGAAGAGCAGCCAGTCGCAGGCAGCCACAGAAAGATCCACAATTTTTTTTTCCTCATTCCACTTCCACTTTTCCGATATAGAAAACGATCTCCAGACCAGGCGTTCGATCGCGCTTCTGTTCCTCCCGCCTGACGACTCTCTCTCACACACACTTCCAGGATGGCAACCATCACCTGCACACGCTTTACTGAGGAATACCAGCTGTTTGAGGAACTGGGAAAGTAAGTTGGAATAGCTTCATTTCTCTAAACCAGTGTGACATTGTTTGAGCTGGCCCAACATGTTATTTTCAATCAATCAAATGCAATGATTTTATTTATTTATTTATTTTTTACAAATCAGATAGTTTTAATTGTTAAATATCTTATAAAGAATGGACAGCATATCAAGAAAATGTCCTCGATAGATTCTAAAATGACTGCAAATCCACTTTTCAGTTTAAATTGGCAAATTTTGGTTTTAATATTTTCGAATATTATGAAATCTGTGCTGCCTGAATATGTGGAAGTGATCCATGGGTATGTGCTACTTGAGAATGCACAACTTACATTACATAACATAACATAACAGGCAGACGATGACTTAAAAGTTAAGACACAAGATCTGATTCCAACATTATGCATTAACAGGACAGTGAAACGGTCTTATGCTTACAGAGAGCTGGTGTCTTTTTTTATTTAATTGTAGTCAGAGCCTAATTAAGTTGCAGTCAGCAACCTAACTGGGTTTTGCAAAAGAAGAAACATAATATACTGACTGAACACAGCCCTTGAACAACATCGAGATAAAGATGGCAGAAGAGAAAGTCAGAAAATGCTCTTAAATCAAGAAAATACGAACAAAATGCTGTAGTACAGAGTGGGTGGATGAGTGGAAAGAGGGAAGCAAGCAGATATGTGTGTGTATATATAAAACACACACACATTACACACAGTATATTTAGAAGTAAGACATATTTGGTTGATCCTGGAAGAACATTCCTGTCTAAAAATGTAGTAACCCTATCCCTAAACCCATAAATTATTCATAAAATCAGAACGAAATGATAAATTAATAACACTGATGTAGATCTTACTTGACATAAACTATAAACGTGTTCCTCAAATCTGAAAAAAATGTTTAAAAAAATGATCCAGGAACAGAAATCAGAGTCACCTCATATATATATCTATATGCGCAATACAATGAAATGAAATTGGTGAGTGTAATACAATAATACAAATGAGTGTTACACAGAATAAAATAGATATTCGTTTATAGATGCAGTGCCAGTAACAATGCTCTGAAATGTTGAGGCAGAAGTACAAAAAAAAAAAAAAAATCTGCTTGCTTTCCTCTTTCCATCCACCCACTCTGTACTACAGCGTTTTTTCCTGAGCGAGTGCACTGTATACTTGTTTTCTTGATTTGAGAGCATATAAAACCTCTACAGAGATGGGTCTTCAACTCCATCTGGCCTTGTGCCCACTGCTCTACTCCCACATACACCCTCATACTGAACACACACACACACGCATCTTTTCCTTGTGGGCAGTCAAACCGCTTACATAATTGCCTTTGTGGGTGGCAATTCAATTCAGACATTGAAATATTGCATAATTCAATATATTACTGCTTACCTAGTAGGTAAACCCGCCGTTCTTTCTTGAAGTTTACATTCACAGCGAATGTTCAACATGCAGACATTGCTTCCATGTTCTCTGATTTTTAGGGGAGCCTTTTCTGTGGTGCGGAGATGTGTGAAAGTTCTCTCAGGGCAAGAGTACGCGGCTAAGATCATCAACACAAAGAAGCTGTCGACTCGCGGTAGGTGCACTGATTAGTTCACATGCATTAAAGGAGTAGTTCACTTTAAAAAAAAACTTTAGCTGATAATTTACTCACCCCCATGTCATCCAAGATGTCCATGTCTTTGTTTCTTCAGTCGAAAAGAAATTAAGGTTTTGATGAAAATATTCCAGGATTTTCTCCATATAATGGATTTCAATGGGAACCAAACGGTTCAAGGTCCAAATGAGAGTTTCAGTGCAAACTGTTCAAAGGGCTTTAAACGATTCCAGATGATGAATAAGGGTCTTATCAAGCGTGACTCTCCTGTTCGAACTCATTTTTCGAGTCATTTGGTTCATTCAACAAACGAAATGACTCGAAAAAAGATTCATTCATTTTGATGAACGAGTTCGAACAGGAGAGTCACGAACGCGCGTCACAGAACAGAGCAAGGCGAGCATTTGAGCTTATAAGTTTCGCTTGATAAGACTCTTATTCATCGTCTGGAATCATTTAAAGCCCTTTGAACAGTTTGTACTGAAACTGTCATTTGGACCTTGAACCGTTTGGACCCCATTGAAGTCCATTATATGGAGAAAATGCTGGAATGTTTTCATCAGAAACCTTCATTTCTTTTCGACTGAAGAAAGAAAGACATGGACATCTTGGATGACATGGGGGTGAGTAAATTATCAGCAAAAGTTTTTTTAAAAGTGAACTACTCCTTTACCCCCCAAGGATACGGACTGTAAGCAATCGACAGAAAATCAACAGATTATTGCCTGTCTATAGATGATCTGTGGTCAGTCTAAAGCCCCCATTTACAAAACAGATGATTTTTTTTTCTCTTTGCTTGACTCATTCTGTGTTATCTGGAACAGGAATTTCTTAAAGCAATAGTTCACCCAGAAATGAAAATTCTGTCATTATGAGGGTCAACCAATGAGGTTCATTCTCATGTAACGCATCATGTTTGAGCTTCAGCAAGATCCAATGAGGTTCATTCTCGTGTTACACGAGATCAAGGCTCTTGCACTAAACGGATTGATTCATATGGTTTTAATTTTACAATCTCTTTATGAACTTGGAAGTGTCAAAGTGGTAGTTGCGTAGCTGTCAATGGAGGGACAGAAAGCACTCAGATTTCATTAAAAAAAAATTTCATTTGTGTTTCAAAGATGAATGAAAGTCTTACGGGTTTGGAAAGACACGAGGGTGTGCAATTAATGACAGAATTTTCATTTTTGGCTAAACTTACCCTTTAAAGGAAGGATTTGACATACAGTCATTATTAAGCAAATAAAGGTCAAAAACATGTAATAAACTGTTTATTTCAGAGACCAAACGCTGGTTGCATAAAATAAGACTAGGCTTACAAGCAAGTCATTGATTTTTTTTGTCAGTTACATAAAAATGTAGATTGCTTTAATTTGAGACAGAAAAATAAAGACTGATTACCTCTGACTAGTTGGTCATACTAGTTCTCAACATAATGCTTATGCAACTGGCCCCAAGTCATACATCTTTTTTTTTTTACCTCATAACAATCATTCACTTTCATTTACATTTATTGGCAGGGAGTTTCCCACACAAGAAAACTGAATATATTGGGTTGTTTGACGTATGAATGCTGTGTTCAGGTCAAGTGGCAAAGACAAATTCAGTATTAAACCCCAAAGTGCTCAAATGCAGATGTGTTGCCTTTATTTAGATATGACATCTTGTTTTAAATGAGTAGAAACTGTCAGGTACTGTATAAGCACTGAACTTTCACATTTTGTTTAAGATTTCCGTTCATATTGTGATAGAGAAATATGCTTTTTTGGAACTGAACCGGAGGGTTCGCATGAAGAAACTAGACGACTAAATGGACTGAAGATCTTGGAGAATGCACTATGCATTTGTCATTTTTAAAGAAATATCTGTACAAATGTTGTATGATTGTCATAGCTGTAAAAGAAAGTATTTCTCTCTCCCTGGAAGCTGAAAGTCAAGTAGAGCAGTAGGAGGCAGTGATATACCCTGAAGGCAGCCGCACACCTCCTACACCATGTTGCCGAGCACACATCATATTATATGCTTCAAATAGTAGCTACTGTACTTGCATTGTTGTTTTAATGGGTTTTTAAACAATGAGTGTGCATGAGATCCATTATTGCTGGTAACAGCTTCTCCATCAGTCTTCAATAGCCAACCAATTTAAGCACATTATATGTGTGTGTTTTTTTTTTTATTACTTTATAATAGTAATATATATTCTGTTACTGTGCATGAAAAAAAAACTGAGTACATTTAGTGAGAAAATAATGTGAAAATCTCCTCTTCAGTTCATCATGGCACACATAGCCACAAATGCACTAAAAAAAAAAAATTATTCCAGAATTAAAACATAATTTGGTATCCCTGTATGTATGAGATTCCTAAAATGGCCTGGAAAATATTGATGTCTTCTAGTCTTCTAATTGAACTTTCTTTTGGTGAGTTGAAAGAATCATGAACTCAGCCAGTTTGCACAGCGAAAATGATTCGCTCTCCTGTTTTATGTTAATGTTTGTACTGCACTGGGCATGAACAACACAAAGAAAACAAGAGAATTATCTGAGGTCATACGCAAGATTATAGCCGAGCACGGACATTCTCAAGGCTACAAGTGCATCTCCAGAGACCTTGCTTGAAGACACTGTAGCCGGCCGCACTGGATGTGGCCACAACAGGAAACTTGCTAGAAGAAATCAGGGAAGAATCAGTGGTGGAGAAAGCACTTTAGCCCGCTGTTTTCTGCACTGGCACACAGCTTGCATCACTCAAAGAAAGAGAGTTATGTGGTAATGGAAACCCAGGGGAACACAACTGAACTGACTGACATAAGAAAGCCAGACTATAGCCAGAACACACCTGAATGCACTAAAATATCTACCCATGTAAGAGGGGACGCGATCGCGACCTTGCAAAAAAATCCCTAAAATTTCTCTAAAGGTAACGAAAAATCCCGAAACTTTACAGAACAATAGGGACGTTCCTATCTCTTTTGGTTATGAAAGTGCTGCAGTTCAATTCCTTATATGATTTTCGTTATGATTCAGCATCCATATCACCCTGTAGACCAAGACTGGTCACCCACTGAAGCTGAGTAGGGGTGAGTCCGTCAGTACCTGGATGGGAGACTCCTGGGAAAACCAGTTTGCTCCTGGAGGTGTTAGTGACGGCAGCAGGGGGCGCTCACCCTGTGGGTTCTAATGCCCCAGTGTAGTGACGGGGGCACATACTGTCAAAGAGCAGACGTTAAACCGGGTCCTGACTGGTTAAACTGGATGTCCTTCTAAATAGAGTAGGGGTGTAACCCAGGTACAGTGGTGTGAATAAGTGTTGGCACCCATGCTAAAGTTGCCTAAAAAGAGGAATAAAAAATCATCTTTTGGATATTGATCTTAATTAGAAAAATGAGGAAAACTCCAATCTTTAAGGACACCAACTTTCTTTGTGAATGAATAATGTATCATAAATAAATAAATGTTTTTCCTTCAAATACAGGGTGCATAAGTCAGGGCTCCCCTATGTTAAATTCCCATAGAGTCAGGCAGATTTTTATTTTTAAAAGCCAGTTATTTCATGGATCCAGGATAATATGCATCCTGATAAATTTCCTTTGGTCTTTGGGATTAAAATATCACCACATCATCACACACCTTCCACCTCGCCTAGAGATTGGCATGGGGTACTTTCCGATCATCTTTCAATGCAAATCAAACCAGCTATTAGGCTAACTGAAGTAAAACCATGCCAATCTATAGGTGTGGTGAATGGTGTGTGATGATGTGGGGATGTTTTAATCCCATATATATAATAAAATGTATTGTCTGATGTTAAAAAGTATGTTTTTATAATGTAACCTTCTCCACCTTGGTCAGTTTAAGGATAATTCATGCAATTTTATAGTATTTATTTAAAAGAATTAAAACAGATTCATGTCTATCCTTGTATTATTCAGCTCGTTGAGATTGGGATTTTGAAAGTTATTAAAAGAAAGTAATTAAATACTTTTTAAAGAGAGTAATTAATCTAATTACACTGTTGAATAGGTAATTAGTAACTAGTAATTAATTACTTTTTTAGAGTAACTTACCCAACACTGCTTCCTGACCAGTCATCGCTTGCCGTCTTTAACGCAAAACTAGTAGCGAGTGACTTCCGGAAACGAATGACAAACGGAAGCGGTGAGCGTTGTATTAGTTGTCCTGTGTTCAGAAAAAAGTAAAAAAAATAAAATAAAGAAAACCCGACAATGGACACGTTCCTGAATTGCTCGAAGAGGACACAATGGGCTGTCAATCCTCCAAAGAGAACTTGAGGTAAAATATTGTTTTCTTATATATTTTTAGTTTTAACGTTAGCACCATCGTCTCTCATTCGTTTCGCCATTTTTGAAAGTTGTGTACGGAAAAGCTTGTGCTCCTATTGGTCAAACTCATACATGTGACGGAATCGTCGTGGACGACAGTTAAAAAAATTAAACATGCTAGTAGTCTTTTTGTCGGGATGTCGTGAAGCATCGCAGACGCGACGTAGGTTGTCGCCCACTATGGCACACTATACGAGATGATGTAAACGAATGTCGTTTACGAATCCCCACGACACCCTATGTCAAACGGATCGTGCCAAAATCGGGCTAAAATCGTGTAATCTGAACCAGGCTTAAGGCTGACAAACTTATTAGTGTTGAAATGCAGTAGTGTTTACTGTAGCATCTGTAAACTCTCTCTTTTGTAAGACTGTTCACCGCACCTTAGGAAAATTAACCGTGGTTTTGTTGATCAGTTACTGTTTGTATTACCATAGTTTTCCGACAACTATCATGATTAAATGGTGTATAACGTATCTATAATGTATAAGAAAATTAAAACAACAACAACATAAACATGAAAGTGTCCTGTGAAATCCGTTCTGGACGATCCTCTTGTTTGTTAACATTCTAAACTCTGAATCAGGCTTTAATTGGTTTGAATTTGATACCATACTTTACACCTGAGCAGATACTA